AAAAAAAAAAAAAAAAAAAAAGAAGGAAAAAGAAAAAAATGATAGCCCACAACGCCTCAAATGTTATTTTCGGGCGTTTAGAACACAAAAATTTCGCGGGGGCATGCCCCTAGGGCATTGTTGTCTCGATCGGCCCAAATTTAGGCCCCCCTTTTGGCCCCCCCTTTTGGACATCTCTGGATCCGCCCCTGGTTCCCCTGAACAATGACAATAAAATATAATTGAGAGTTGACCCTCGTAATCATCTTTCCTTTTGTGTACTTATATTTTATTAGAGTGTCTGCAGACTTCAACAAAACATTGTCAACATGGAAAGAAAAATTTTTCAAGAAATTCTAGAAGATTCTTTCGTAGCAACAACTGATGAGTATGGTATGGTCATTGTAATCTTCTGTCTTTTCAATTTTATTAGGTATAAATACACAGAGATTTTTCGATATTCTTGTGAATCCGAAAGCGCAAATGTTGATTATTTTTGCCATTTTGTATTACTCGTCAGTTGTAATATGACAGCGTTACCAAATAAGGAATCAGAATCAGAGAGTAAGTTGGGTCGACATATTCAGGGAGTGATTTACAAGGCAGTGGCGTAGAAAAATATTTTTCATTGGGGGGGATGATTGGCGTGTTAGCCAGTGTCGTAACAGGCGCAGGGGGGTATAAAGGGGGGGGGGTGGAGGGGGAAACTTCCCCATCCCTGACGGTTTTTACCGGGCTGACCAAGCCGTCATACCGGGCTGGGTAATAAGAGAAAAGAAAGAAGGGAGAGGGAGGGAGGGAAAGAGAAAGAAGAGGAAAAGAAAAGGAAAGATAAAGAAAAAGAGAAGAGAAAAATAAAGACAAGAATAAAAAGGAAGATATCATAATGACCAGACTCACAACACTCTGCAACCCCTTCTCCATTTCAAAAACTGTCATAACTCCTTTGATCTATGCTGCCCGATGGCGTAACCACTGGGGGACAAGGGGAAAATATCTATCTTTGAAAAATCTTCCCCACCCCTTTATAAATGCCCTTTTCATCCCCTGAAAGTGCCTAAAAACCTCACTTTCGCACACGCTTCGCGCGCATTTCTTGTTAACATGGGCCAATTTCCTCTAAAAATTGCACATTTTAGGAAATTTTGATCAATTCCAACGAAATTAGAATTAAAAACACCGGGGGACAAGGGGAAAATATCCATCTTTAGAAAATCTTTCCCCACCCATTGACAAATGCATCCTCTGAAAGTGCCTAAAATTCTCAAATTCTTTGCACGCATTTTTTGTTACGGTAGGCCAATTTCCTCTATAAATTGCACATTTTAGGGAGTTTTCATCAATTCCGACGAAATTAGAAATGCGCGCTTTGCATGCATTTCTTAGGCCTTTTTTTAGGTTTATCCTTTTAAGTTATTTAAACACATAATAGTCCCAAACTCAAGGAAGACAAATTTAAGATAGATTGTTTTAACCTAAAAGAAGGGCCTCAATGTGTATTGATGGTGAAAGAATATGTTTGTAATAAATAAACCATGATGAAAATGCTTATATTTAGTTTCAAACACACGTGTGTGGCCTATATTATAAATAAGATAAGCCCTATGTCGTATTGTTTTCTATATGAGGAGTGGGTGGGGTGGGTATGGTAAATTACTAACCGGGAAAATAAATACCCAACCTGACCCAAGACCCCTGTTACGCGCCTGGTGTTAGCGCCAATGTGTGCCCTTGTGTGGACAGGGTATGTGCCCCCTCTGAAGCTGGAAACCTTGTTTTTGCAAAATAAATTGCTATATAGGCCTAATCAATAAATTCCTCATCAACCGATATAACCTTAAACATTCTTGGAATTGACATAACATTACTGATGTCGTACACACCCTTCAGTGTGAAATGTGGCTCTCTTTATGTGTATAAGAGACAAATGTGGCTCTCTTTGCAAGCACATCTAACATCTAAGGAAAGAAGAGCTTAGATTGGTGCCAGATAAAATAATTTTGTTATCAACATTAATACATTATGCTAATTTTCATCTTTGTAAGCACATAAGACAGTGCAAATTATATCTGTGACAGTCTTTTTAAGTGTGTAAAGCTCCATTTTATTCCATACATAGTCAAAATATTGGGGGGGGGGGATGATACAATGGACCATCCCCCCCTTGTCAAATAATGGGGGGGGGGGATATATATAATATAGCTTAAACTATTCATGGTGAAGCTGATGAAGGCCAGACAGGTGCCTTACACATAATTTAGAAATGCGTACGCGTTACTTGAATCTCAAAAGACCACGCCCCTTCGTACTTTTTGCGTTCCAATGAATCCCCAGCAGTCGGACCTCTAGCAGTTTTATACCCTTTGTTCAAAGTTGAAAGGCCTGAAGTAACCACCCACCAAACACAAAATATTCTTATAACTTTCGTGAATGTTGCAATGTTAGATATGTAACAAAATAACGTTCGCACAACGTTGTAAGAACGTTCAAACATCGTGACGTTGAGAAAGTAGGTTATAATTATGTATAGATGGTTCTACAAAATAATGTTTTTATCACCAAACTGTAACGTTACTATAATGTTCTTTAACATAATAGCTGGGCACTGCGCCAAGCGCTCCTCGACTAAATTAGCACATAACTTCATGATAACTAGAAATATTAACTTGCAATAAATATGTTGATTTTATTTTTGATTTCTTTTCCCATTTTTACTTGCAGTTGGCATGGCATTAAAAGTGAGTTCAGACAACAAAAGCAAGCATTATTTCTTACATACTGAAGATGGAGTTGTCACATTCCAGCTAACTGATTTACCTGTAGGCAATGACGGTAGGTAAACATGATTATTCTTCAAGGTTGTAGCAAAGAGTATAAAACTACAAGAGGTCCGACTGCCATGATTTTTTATGCAGGCAATGAAACATTAAAAAAGTACAGCCACGAAATAGGGGGCACCCTATTCGAATTAGAATAGAATTCGAAAACCGAACATGCACGCAGAACACGTTCGATCATCGAACGTCTTTGAAGGCCATGCCCTTTTTTAAAATAGGGTTGTGTTCCAATGAAACCACCTGAGCATTCTTAATACTAAAGGTAGATTTACATCGAATCCGAATTCGGTTTGTATGGCCAAAGATAATGATTAGCAAAAGATAGAGCAGTTCAATGGAACCGCCCCATGACGGTGTCCATGAGAGCAATTTTCCTTCATTCGAGCGGCGGGGCTATATCTTTGATTGGTTGGATTGGTTTACAGATCTCTACTATGATAGCTATTGTAGTAGAAATCAGTGGATTGGTTGGATAACTCTCTGGTTCATTTGTTTTCATTAGTTTCTCCACTCCATGAAATAATTTTCCTCCATTCTAGAGAGGGTGGACGTTCAATCAAAGTTAATGCAAACTACACGATGAGCTCATTCTTCTGCTAGTTATGTTCTTTGGTATGGCTCATCATCATCATCTCGTTTGTCACCTCACGGGGGGTTGGGTCATCCCATTATCATCCTCCATCTGGTGCGATCCATGACTGCTTCTAGGTCCACCAATCTTCCATCTTGTCTGATGCAGTAAAATGGAATCGGTGGTAAAGAATAGACGCGAACTAAGGGGCGCATTGAAAATGTTCTACGAACCGAATTCGGATTCGGTGTGAATCTTACTTTATTCACTTTATAGAGTATTATTTCATTCGATTGTATGAACTTGGATTTCCTATTTATATTTTCATCAGCATAGTATTAATTAACATTCTTTACTGAACTTTAATACTATGAAACAAAATATTTATCTTATACTTCAGAGATGACAGTAATAGTTGCAATGTTTGTAATGTCTTTCAATTTCACTGAAGATATATCGAATATCAAGTAAGATAATTATCGGTTCTCTATATTATTATTAAAATATTGGTATCAATATATTTCATATAATGTGATAGTAAATATTATATTCGATTTATATTAGTTTATCTAAGATTAATATATTAATTTAATTATATATAATACAGGGAGTCGTTGAAAGAAAGAGACGATATTAACAACAGGGTGAATACCTCTTACAGATTCATAAGTAATGGTCTGTTTTCATTGTCAGTGTTCAATATGTCCGGAGACAATTTAAATGTAGACATTAGCGTTACGTTTGTACTTCCGACGCATAAGGTACAGTAATTTGTAAAATTGTAGCACCATAATTCTGCTAGTGCAAACATGAGTATATTGAATTGATTATTACAAATACAATTCAGGCGTCTTGATATTGTTGTTTATAGGTAGGAAATGTAGGAGGCCTCCTCATAGCAGAAATGTACTATACCTTAATAATATCAATATCAATACAAAGCTTTCCAAACCGTATAATTTGCCTTTTTAAACAACACTATTTTAAATAAATAATAAAACTGTCTATTAAAATATATTATGATATAGGCCTGTTTTAAGAGACATTTTTGTTGATATAAACAGTATCAAACATTAAAACCAATTCAAATAAAATTATATAAAGGAAAGCAGAGTAAGCCTATCCACAGACATACAATCCTTTTAATTACAATTTAAATAGATAATACAATTCTTTTAACTACAATAGATAAGATAACTCCCTAAACCCTTCCTCTCTTGACCATAGGTTACGCCCCTTTGCACCTTATGTCCTCAATTGCTACTTGCACCACCCCCAAAATTATGGTAGGCCACTCTTAACTTGTTGGTGAACACAAATTACAAGAACTAGCTCTTCTGAAATGGCTGGTATACATTTACGTAAACTAAATTTCTATTTGCTTGAATTTATTTCTTAATGGTTTAGGTTACAACAATGTCAAACACTAAGAAAGAAATTATTTGTGTCTACCTTGCAGACGACGGATTGTAAGTATAGCTCTACAAAGTTTGAAAGAGGTTTACTCCACTTCAATTTAACTGCTCTTTTTCTTACCTGTGTCTTTTTAAGAATGTGAAATTATCTTGCATTGTTGTTTGCTGTAGATGGTCAGATACTGGTTGCGTGTCACGTGGTAATGATACTTGCTACTGTAGTCACACCACTAGTTATGCCATTCTGATGAAAACTACGTCAGGAAAGGTGAATTACGTTATACAATTTTATAACAATTTTCCTTTTATTTAAATGCTAATCCTTGTTCATTATACACACATAATGAGAGAACCAATTATAAGCAGGATGTAAATTATAGAAATGTAAACATTGTAGTCAGACCCTGATTATGCTTTGGCCTACATAACTGACAATTTGAATTTTGTGCATAAGTAAGCCAGAGACCCACTTTTTAGGTTAAGTGTAAACACGGTCAAAGATGTTATGTACATCAAATTGTATGCATCCTCCTCTACTAAGGCTTTGTTCTCATACGGCTGCTAACGGTTAGCAGGATCCGGATTCTGCTAACTGTTAGATGCCGTGCGTCCATACGAGAAAATCCAGATCCGGATACCAAAAATATGATGATCGAATCACTGGCCAATAAGAAACTGGAAATTGTAAACGCGTACGTGTGATTGGTTGATGATAAAAATGCGCTCAACTTACTTACCTATAGCGCTTGCTAACTGTTAGTGGTATCCGGATACTGCTAGCGGTTAGCGCTAATCGATCGGGCGTTCTCACTCAGGTGCTATCGGTTAGCTCCCGATCCGGATACTAGGGCTCTCGTGAGAACCAAGCTAAGGATCTTAAGCTCTGTACACACTATCTATTTTATGTGAAAAATAAATGTGATATGCCCATATTTGGGTGTAATATGACATCATCATGCCTATAAAAGGGCACATCACACAAATTTGTCAGGTATATTTTATGCATTAGCAATTCGCACGTGTTGATTCATTGAAATTTAACTTGGTAAGTAATTCATCATAGGGTGAAGACGTGGCGTTATCATGGATATCTAGAACAAGTATTGGAATTTCTTTGATAGGACTTCTCGCAACTTTCATAACATACAGTTGCTTCAAGTAAGATAATCTTTCTATTGGACACAATCCGTATACATATTGAAATAGAAACTCATTCGGGATATTGGGAAATAGCTACATTTTCCTCCAATTCATTCACAAATCACAATAAACATGAAATAGATAGGCCTATAGATACACAGTAGAGTGTTTGTAAAACAGAACATAGGGCTTTTCCTCATAGTCATAATGAGAAGTGATGTTACCAAAAAAAATAATTGAAATCAAATTGACCAAAGTGCCAGCCAGAAAAACCTTTGAAAAAATAGGAAAATGGGATAGAGAAAAAAATAAAGAATAAAAGCAATTACTTTTTTTGGTAATGCAGGAAAAGTCAATAATGGTGAGCAATAATCATATACAGTAGGCCTGTGGCAATTTTATTTTATTATTTACTTCGCTTTGGAATTATTTTTTTAGATATCTGTATTTTTTGTTATCGCAGAAAATTCAGAAAATCAACACGAGGTATAATACATTGTAACTTTACTGCCAGCATTATGCTACTCCAAACTGTGTTTATTTTCGGAATCAACAAGACGGAAAATGAGGTTTTGTATGGTCATACATTGCATGCTAATCTAGTTGAAAATACAGTAGAAAATGTACGTAGCCAAACAATATTAATTAGTTTACAGTTAAATTGGTAAGGATTGGTGAGATGGAAAATTGTACAAAACAAATTTGGTTTTGTATCAATATCATCTTTTTTAAAATTGATATTTTCTATAATTTCAAACTACATAAAATTATAAGCACCCATTAAAGATCCCCCATTATTTTAAGTTTCTCAGTTAATCTTGAAATAGAGTGTGCCTGCCATTCACAGTAGATTGATTTCTTTTATTTATTTTTTAATATACAATATATTTAAATGTCAAATAAAATCACTGCAAGACACCTCACTTTTAAATATATAGTAAACCCAAGTGCTTTATTAAAAGCAGCCTAAATTGTCTCCAATTGCAGTATGTGTGTATGGCAGTGACTATCGGTCTACATACAGCCGCTTTGTCAACATTTACATGGATGCTTGGCGAAGCAGTTTTCATCGCTTTCAAAGTGTTGAGGACGACGCCGAGTACATATAACAATATCAAGTATTATCTGCTAGTTTGCTACAGCGTACCTGTTGTAATCGTTGGTTTGACCTTAACTATACGAACTTTGGAATACAGAGATCCGGATATGTATGTTTAGTTCAAAGTTTTACTGACTTTCAAGATATGGCTTAACCATTTTGTTATAGGGACTGGCCATACGTACAGTGGCTGTGTATACAATAATAGAGGTTTTGTTATATGCACAGCGACAAGCAACCAATTGCAGCACACCATAGTATCTCATGATTAAAAAAGCTCTGTTTTTAAAAAGAATCAATTTGTGGTCTTTTGTTCGTGATTCTTTGCACAGTGTGGACGTGTTATTTGACGATCTGATAATAAAACACATTTACTATTGTTATCTATTTTTGTTTGTTTTGTAAATATAACAAGACTTCAACTGAGATATACTTTTAGTAGTTAGGAGGAACTGGGGAGGGCTGAAAACGATTTTTATTGAGCATTGCCGAATCCGCAGCTAGCTAGGCCTAACCAGCCCAGGGTACAGTGTCAGTAGCAGACACCACGTGTGATTGAGAGTGGGTGCAATTTAGCCTACCTAAAGGGGAGAGTACAGCAGCTGTGGCCTTTCGCGGTTGGGTGCAGTTTAGGGACGCCTAGGTTTAACAGGTCTAGCAAGGAGCAATTAAATCCTACGGCCACAGATCCTTTTTATTTTCAGCTGTCACATTTTGGAACTCCCTCCCAAAACATGTTATCGCTCACCTTCAGTTGCTGTTTTTTAAGAACAATCTCAAAACTCACTTTTAACATTTGAACATGCACAGCGCCATTGATTTTTACTTCGGTTCAGTGATATTGGCGCTTTATAAATTATTATTATTATTATTATTGTGGTTGGTACTCAACATTCTTATGAAGTACAGTAATGATAATAGGTTCGAACCTACGCTGTGAATTTCGCTTGTTCATGACCTTGCCACCACATCCCCCCCCCCACCTCAAATGACCATAGTATACAGTATAGTATATATATACTATACCAGTATATAGCTATTCAAATGCTGTATTTACCTTTGTTTGATGATTTCATATATATAATATATATATTACATATAGGCCTATATTATATGTATATAATATAGTTATGTATATAAAAATATATATATATATATATATATATATATATATGTGGAGGGTATAATTATATTATATTTATTATTTAAGTCTATTATTCTATCATTTTGTTTTTGCGATCAATCAACATATTACAGTAACACTGAACTAAACAATAGGACAAAAAGATTGCAAAAAGACTCTCTAATCCATTGTAATTATCAGCCTCTTTTCAGAGGTAAATACAGTATAAATAATTTAAAAGAAAAAAATATAAATTATTTAAAAGATAAGTAGAGCAGGTATATATAATTCTATGCAAGTATAGCAATACAAAAATTTATTTTTAAAGATTAAAAATATGTTGCTTCAAACAAATTAACAGAAAGCAATAAAATAAGCCACTGTGCGTATAAGATACTCAAGTTCTTTATATACACAGCCGCGGTGCGTACAAGATCCGTTCTGTCAATTATATACACAGCCACTGTGCATATAAGATCTGTGAAGTCCATTATATACACAGCTGCTGTACATTTAAGATTAGTTCTGTACCTTATGTACACAGCCGCTGTGTGTATAAGATCCGTTATAAGGCCATTTTATACACAGCCGCTGTGCGTATAAGATCTGTTCTGTCCTTATATACACAGCCGCTGTGCGTATAGCCTTGTCCTTTGTTAACCCTTAAAATGTCACTTTAACAATTCAATTTCTTTTTCAAAATGATCAAATCAATTTATGTTCTCTGAGGTAAATCTGAAAACCTTTAAAAATTATATATTTTTAATTTGATCTTTATTAATCTGACTTGTATGTTATTTACTTGATTAATTTAATATTAGGCCTAAACAATTTGTATGCAACAATGCAAAATACTTTACTAAATGACTATAAACAACTTGAAATGAATTGCCCATATCAAATATTTATCTGCTAATAATGTTTAATTTAAAACACTTATTATTATTTTTTCAGCTGCTGGTTAAATAGTAAGTATGGACTCCGTTGGGCATTCGTGTTTCCGGCCATTGTCATACTTCTGGTAAGAATTCTCCTCTAATTTTGTTGACAGATTTTATAGTACATTGAGCAACCTAAAGAAATGCTTAATACAATTAATGTACTGTTGCTAAAGTACCGTACTAAATGGAAGTATTGCAGTAATCCAGATCTTATGAAATAAATACAGTGTAGAGACAAAACCTATACAAGGTAAATGATAGGATGACGAAGCTTGCTTGTATTTTTATTCGTTAAAACCAACCTTTTGATTTTAGATAAATTGTGTTATTCTTGGCATGGTGGTAAAATGCATCTACATCAGGTCAGAGTTCAACAACTCGTCTATTCATGATTCAAGTATGAAGTGAGTATATTAATGACAACAATGCCTCTACGCTTCACATTGCATTACCCCCAATATTGGATAAAACACAATTTAATATATTTTAGACAATCTGCATAATTACTATGAAGAATTGTATTTATTGTTTAGTAATATGTGCTATTGTAAATTTACTATATCACTATTATAGTAGGCCTGTAGTAGTATCATAAGAAACAAGAGCGACCGCTCATCAGGTCTGCGCGTTCCTCCATGCTTAAATATGGTACAGGTGCAAGTTATTATATTGGGTTTTTAAAATAAATAAATAAATTGGGAAAAAAAAATTGAATACCAAGACGGGTTTTGATCTCATGACCTTAAGTTCTTTAGAACACATCCTTAACTGAAAGTCATGATTTCGAATCGCGCCTCGGTGTTAATTTTCTTTTTTAATGAACATGGATGAGAACTGTTTGACAAAATGAAAAAGAAAATAAATACGCGACTCAAACTTACTAAATACATGATTCAAGCTCACGACCTTAAGTTCTTTACAACACATCCTTAACCGACCGCGCCATTCATGCACTATTAAGATAATGGTAAATGGCAGTAATGTACAGTTCTGCTGAAACCGCCCCCCCCCCCTTGTTTTGTTTTGTAGGTGTAGGGGGAATCATGGGGTCCAACTTAAAAAATGGGTGATGAATGGTTTTTGGAAATATGAATGGTTTTTGGAAATATGTACAAAATGTCATGCATGTCTGTTCAAAACTGGCGGCGCTGGACGCTTTTAAAGTTTGAAATCCCTGTTTTGTTTTGTAGGTGTAGGGGAACCCTGGGGATAAGCTTAAAAAAGGGTAATGAACATTTGTTGGGAATCACCTTTAGTTTATGTGTACAAAATTTCATGCACGTCTGTTCAAAACTGGCGACGCTGGACGCTTTTAAAGTTTTGGTAACAAGAACAAGAACAGCAGTGAGGCTCTGGGTCAGCGCTTCGCGTGGACCAACAAGAGTCAATAAAATAATTATAAATTGTATATTGAACGTATTGAATTGTTTATGCCACAATGATTTTGTCAACGGATCCCGTCAGTGTCTTCCGAAGAAGACAGCTACTACAACAATTACAGTAAACGAATTAAATTCTTTTTTTTTGTAAACAAAAAGCATTAAAAATGACTGTATGGTGTACGAACATCAATTGTATACTTGTGAACAATAAAATTGTCACCTTGAATTAAGATAATAAAAATAACAATATTGTTTTTAATTACAGAGAATCAAGCGTAATAGAGTAGTATACAACTAGAATGAAGACAAAAATAATCATTTCTAAAAACTTTATGAGCACATTAAGAAGTTCTTATGAGTTTTTGGCTTCATTGTAAAAAAAAATTACATTACATTTCAGGAAATCATTAAAGGGTGCCTTGATACTAATTCCACTGTTTGGAATTTCATGGCTCATTGGTCCATTTTTCTCAGTTTCATTCCTTATGGAGTACCTGTTTTGTATAATAAATGGATTACAGGGATTTTTCATATTCCTGATCTACGTGGTTTTTGATAAAGAGGTAGGTTGTTACTTGTGTTCAGTAACGTGATCAGTAAAAAAAAAAGTAAATAATAGTATATTGTAAACACATATAATACAAAGTCATAGAGAATCAACTTCAGAAATATAATTTTGAGCTAGTATTATGCATGGGCTAGTGAAAGTATGAAATAGAGTAATAAAATCTTGTACTTGATGGCAACGCTCTATTTCCAGAATATGTAAAGGTAATGTTGAGTTTTTGACGATGACTGCTCAAATGACTAAAAACTATATCTGTATTTTCACTGAATGTAATTATGCTCTTTCATTTTATTATTTATTAATCTGCTAGAAATTGTTGCAATCGTCAAACATTTTTATTAAATACTTTTAGGCCAGCTTAATGTGGAAAAATGGAATAAAAACGCCTAATTCTATCAGCAACGCAACAGAGGTGAGTTTTGATAATGATTATAATTTGATGAAGTAACGATGAAATTGTCAAGTACATATGGCATACATAGTGAGCACCACACATATTCACAGCTGTTATTATCACAAGCAGTGTCTACACTACACCACAATACATAACACTTTCAATCAGACAGCACTTTAATATCTAAGACAAAGTTTCATTTCAGGAGGACACATTTGAATCATTGTTCTCAAAATATCCTCAATATGACAGTAAATCATGTGTTATGTTTTTTGTTAATGGAATTTAATCTTTTTCTTATTGGTTATAAAAACGTTTTGTGTTTCACTTTCAAAGGCACAAACAGCATCTGGTTTGGTACAAACCAGCCATATCTGAGGACTGAAGTGATGCTAATAGCAGCTGGCAAGTTACCAACGCGACGACATACGTTATTGATGAAAAAATTACCACACTGAACACATCAGAATAGCGTGAGTGTGTTCACATGGACACAAGTGCGATGCTTTGTCGCGCGTGTTTTGAGAAAAAAAAACCATACAAATCTTTTCATGTAGTAAGACCTATATCTACTATTATTACTATGTATACTTGCAGTCTCAAGAAGTATTATCCTTCTGCTTAGCATAATGGAAAATTATTATGGGCTACACGAAAACAAAATAGTTGCAATTACAATCTATTGCAAGGTTCAACTTAAACATATCTGATACAGAGAATTACGCTATATTTAAACAGAATGGAACTTTGTATGTATTTGTTTGGATATTCCAATAAGCATATTTAAAACAAGAATATGTGTAAATAAAGATTTACAATACACGGTCACGTGACAAAATTAATTTATGTTTATGAAACTGTTTATTAAAACATAAACATTTTTTTACCCTAATATATGACTAATCAAACCAAGAAAGCGCTGGATTGATTGTGTCCGAGACGATAGTAGAATGGTTGATCTGAGAAGAGTTGGTGACAGGGGAGAATGGAAAGTAGTGTCAACACGACCTGACCCCCCCCCCCCCCAACCCCACCCCCCCCCCCCCCCCCCCCCTTGAGGGGACAGATGGAAAGATGATGATGATGACATCAAATGTCTATTGTTCATTGTTTGTCTGCTTCTCAGTCATTTTATTCAAGCCCTCCCTTCATATTGTTAACAGTTATACTCATTCATCTGATGAGTGTAATCAGCTCTGTTGACTATATGACACAAATTTATGTAATTACATAATAATTCTCTCAGCAGTTTGGTTACATCATCCTCCATGGTAATAGCGTATATGTATATGGTCCACTGTATGGAATTGAGGTTCCATTCAGTTTAAGAGAGCAATCTCAAATAGCTATTGATGGGTCTGCGGCTTAGCTAGATGAATAGAAATGTTAAGAGATTTTAATTGTTTTTTAATTGTAATAAAATATATATTAAATTGTGAAGAACGTTTCAATAAACTGTTGATTGTTGATGGATTTTTTAAATTTAAGTAATTTTGTAATTGTTTGAATACTTGCGCTAGCTAAATTAAGAGATTTTGATACTACTCAACTGTTTAAATTGTTGCGCTGTGTAGTATAAAATTATATTTTAATGTAATGTTTAAATAAGATTTTGTAAATTCAGTGAGTACTTCACATTTTAATGTATACTATTTTTAGAGTTGTAAAGTTTAATATATATTTATCTGTACTGTTATTAATATATTTTAAATATTACACATCGTGGGACGTGCTACAGTAGGTCTAAATGCGCTATGTAGTAAAACATTACAACAGTTTACTGTTTGGCTTCTTACAAGCATAATTACTAATCAAATTGTATATCTTTGGAGGTTCTCTCTTGTCGTTTCATATAGGACGTTTCGAATAAACTGTTGATTGTTGACTGATTTTTAAAATTTAAGTAACTGTAATTGTTTGAATATTGGCGGTAGCTAAATTAAGAGATTTTGATGCTATTTAACTGTTTGAATTGATGCACTGTATAGTAAAAATTTGTATTTTATTGTAATGTTTGAATAAGATTTTGTAAGTTCCAAGTACTGCACATTTTAATGTACCGTATGCTATTTTTAGAGTTGTAAAATGTAATAGTTTTATATATATTTGACTGTACTGTTATTAATGTAATTTCAAATGTTATACAATGTGGGACGTGCTAGGTCTAGACACATTATTTATTAACACATTACAGCAGTTTACTGTTCATTTTCTTACAAGCATAATTACTAATCAAAATGTATATCTTTGGAGATTCTCTTGTCATTTAATACATTAAGACAAGGATGTAGGATACTATTGAATAGTTGATAATTGTTTGGTGATTTAGATCTTCAAGCATATAGGAATGTGTGAAACTAGTTGTTCTTAATTGAGTTCGAAATTTGAATGAAGTTTACGTGACCTAATTTGGTTAAGGCGCCTCTTTATTCACTAAGTCTCATTCTGGTATGATTCCTCTTTAACGTCTCTAACATAATGTGATGTAATTAATAGTATCTCATCGGAGACATTCTTGTCGTTTCAAATGCTAAAGATGGAGGTGTATCATACTGATAAGTTGTTATTCGCAGTGTTTCGAGAACTTCTGCTGTTCAACTATGTCAAAAAAAGTGAAAATCATTTGCTGTTAACAGATTTGAAGGGCCTATTAACGAACCGCCAGTGGTCCAATTGTTGGGTTGTAATCTGGATGGGAAAGAGTTTTCTTTAACGTTCACAGTTTATGTGTATACATTGTAACTTCACCAGAAAAAAAGGATTAGTTCGATTGGAATTTCAATGCACAATTATAACTATTGATTGTTTTTATAAACCAACATGACTCGTAAAATATGATAAGTTTCATACTTGCTAATTAAGATACCACACAAATAGTTCCACCAAATGTACCATTTCAACCATTTTTGACCTAGCACCTAAGGATTGAACATTTCCCTCATAAAACAGCATGTAGTGCAAATAAAATGTTAAATGTAATTTTGGCTTTCATTCTTTGCATTCTTGTGTTAATTATTAAGTTTCAGGTAACTTACTCAAACACATCTAAGAACTTCATTCTAAATTTTGGTGTGTTTTCTGAATGGTAAAATATCTCCCTGCATGAACGTAACACCTCCGTCTGTCAGGACAATTATGAGGAGCGTTAGGATTCGGTGGCAGCTGTATGCCACCAATTTCGATACACAGATACTAATGAAATAACAGGACACAATTTAAATCCAAATGATGTATTTTCATTTGTAATAAATTTAATTGAATTTAATTATTATCGTATCAGAGAACAATACTACAATTTCTGTAGCTAGCTAGCAACAGTCATTCTTATATGTACAGCTAATGCATGCACAGCTATGTATCAAACATTTTACAATACTGTACTAAGCAAACACCAGCAGATTCAATACAATACATACATATAAAAGACGACGATTGACTTATAAAGCAATTATTGTCAAGTAATTTTTGAGATACTATAGAAAATAGAGTCTAACTATGGAAATCTGCATTGAATGTGTCATTCAGTATACAGAGACAAATTTCAACCGATAACATAAGTATTCAATTTATTAAAATTGCAGGTAGTTATTTGCTTGATACTTGCTTGATGATAGTGGGTCGATGAAAAGCTTGAAGCTTATAATAGTTAAGCCAATTCTGCCGATGTTGAGCCGCTATGAAGAAAGGACCAGTCTTATTATATTAATAGTTTATGAATTTGAACATAAAATTGATAAAATACTTACTTTTTGTGAACAAAAACAACTCAGAGCAGGACAGCCTGCCATATGCTCTCACCCATTGTGCAAAAATGGCGCATTTTAACTTTACTTTTATCAAGCAGTCGTCAAGAAACCTGTTAATACTGCATTCTGATTGGTCAAATTAATCCCAATTGGAATTAACACAATCCAATTGGATAATTGTTATCCAATTGGAATTTAAAGACAATCTAATTCTATAATTGTTATCCTATTGGAGTTTAAAGACAATCCAATTGGATATTCATTATCCAATTGGAATTTTAAAACATTCCTATCAAATATTTCTCTTCCAATTGGAATTAAAAAAACAATCCAATTGGATATTTGCTATCCAATTGGAATTTCAAGACAACCCAATTTGATATTTCTTATCCAATTGGAATTTAAAGGCAATCCAATTGCATGTTTGTTATCCAATTGGAATAAGTAAAAAATCGAATTGAATATTTATAATCCAAATGAAAATCCAATTTGATTTGTTTTTGTAGTTCAATTGGTATTATCAAATTGGATTTAAAAAAAATTCTAATTGGAGATTAATTGTCCAATTGGATTTTTCCAATTTCTAATTGGTCATTTGTCATCCGATTGATTCCAATTGGATTTATAAAAAAAATCCTATTGGACATTTGTTATCCAATTGATCTCAATAGGATTTTTTCCAAAATTCCAATTGGAATATGTTTTCTCAATTGGAACCAATTGGATCTAATTAATTCCAATTACAATCCAATTGATTCATAATTATTGAATCCAATTCAATTTCCAATTGGAATGAATTTTCGTAAGGGGAGGAGGTTTAACTTCACGCATCTGCTATTTAGCAGCGACCAGAAATTTTGGAAGATATAGCAATCAGTATGGACGATGAATATGAATCACTTCACTTGTTAAGTAAATTTTCCAGATCTAATGTTTGCCAGTATGGCGTTCCATACATACAGCGTGTTCTTTTATGACCGACCAACCTATCTAGGAGCAGCCTAGCGTAGCGAGGCTTAGCCTAGCCTACACACGTACTTCAGTGCTGTTGCAGGGCCAGGCTAGTTATTATTAGTACCGTGTTTATGTTGTATCGCATTCTTATAAATAAATTTATATGCTTAATATTCGGTAAGATTTCTTTCGGCCTTTAACAAAATGGAAGAAAAGGAAAAAAGGAATGTTTCTAAACCAGATATTGAAAAATTGCAGCAGACAAAACGTATTTGTCGGTAAGCACATTTTTACTCTCTCTCTAAGAAGACCCTCGGTATGCTTAGCTTAGGCATAGGCCTAGGCCCTAGCTAGGCCCCTACCTAGCCCGGCCCAGGGTATACTATACTAGGCCTAGGCTTTAGGCAAGCTTAGAGAGGCTACTAGCCTTAGCTAGGCTGCTGCTGGCCTGGATTAGGCCTATGCCTAGGCCTAGTAGACTTCGGCCGCCACCGATCGAGTGCCAGAAGTATTTTAGCGCCGTTGGTTGTACTGTCTGTTTGCTTTCAATCAATGAGCGCTAGCTCCTAGGCCTAGGCCCCCTAGTTATGTTCAGTGCTTTATGCCAGTTATGCTCATTGTGTTAATTTTCTTTTTAACGTTCAAATAACGTTATTTGGATAGACAAATTATTATCTTTCAAATTTTTGATCGACGACCTAGTCGTGTGTCGGATGACAGGAGCTCCATGGCCTGTCCGACCGGAGCCCCCACCACCACTGGCCCCCCCCTTCCCCTCTAATTAAAATAGCTGGGTCCGCCACTGAAAACCATTTAATACTATTCATAATTGCATCTTCAGAAATCGATTAAATAAAACCTAAAATAATAAAAAATGTTTGAGCTCTTCCCCTCGACCTCAGCAGGGTTCTTCCCCCTAGCCATCCGATCCCCTAGCCTAGCCATTTTGGTCCACTCGCTACAAATTCGCACCCACCCAGTAAAAATCCTGTGTACGGGCCTGAAGTTGCCAGTAGTGCAAGTACCTAACCTTCTATAATATCGAGATAGTGTGATATACGATATTATATATATAGACATATCGTTTTATTTTAAAATACTGTATTATGTTTTTTTTTAAGTGCCAACTTATGTGGAGGCTGTTTCCGCTTTTAAAAAAATTGGTTAATTGTGGCTGTTGCTGCAACTATTAAACTTGGTATTGCACACTTATACTTAAAATATGCTTAAATATACTTATGTATGAGGGAGTGAGGCTTTTTATTTTTTATTTTTTTTACTTTACTATCCAAATATCACCATTGAGTTTTCTGCTGGTGCATTGATATTCGAAGTAAAATACATGCTTGAGATAATTTAACTATTTACTTAAAAAAATGGAAAAAGGAAATGGAAAAAAAAAAATTTCCCTAATGTTTTTTGCCAATACTATAGAAGGGCAGGATGATCAAAACTAATCATTTTTTTTATTGGGCCTTATCTATTAACTGTGGCCTAGTAGTAGTAGGCCTAGTTGGTAAGTTTTAATTGGAAACGTAAATCTACCCAAACCTGTTCGATTGCTGTTGAAAGGAGTGAAAGAAATAGACAAAAATTTATAAATAAAACAGAGGCAAAGCTGCCTACATACACATCCATAACTGTTGATACTGTACAAGTGGATTTTGGGTACAAATCACATTTGATTGACTAGGTCGGATTCAACAGAAAGTTCATTTTGTTATGTTTGCTTATGAATGAAGTCTTTATATAGGTTTTGTCAGGTCTGAAAAGAGGAATAAATGTCAATAAAATATCTTTTTATGAATTGATGATTTATTCATAATATATTGAATTGATTTATTTCCCAATAGTGGAGCACAAGATATTATCAAGAAGCTAAGTAACATAACCAAAATAAAACAGGCACATAGAGCAGTATTTGATCGTGATACAATTGAGTTACGTATGAGGTAAGTGCATCTGGTATTAAAAAATTTAGTATTCCATGCTAAAGTATTGTAAGGCAATGATCTCATGCCGAAGTACATCATTTCAGTGGTAGATCCAAGTGGAGGCGAACCTTACCCTTCCAGCAACAGCCAAAAGTCTAACCAAATCTTGAAATCAGTTAGAAAAGAAATTTAATGGCTAAAACTTAGGAGATTTTAGGGAAATATTCCCTCGACTCCCACCTCTTCTAAAGCATGTCCTATTGTTGTTCACATAAATTCTAAATTCAGGGTGATGGCTCATTTTAAACATGCAACATGGTTGCGCCAGTGTGTTGGCCAGTTGTCGGCCAAGCTGTCAGGGACATATCACCAAGCCATCGGGGATGTCAGCCCAGTGGTAAAATTTGTCATAATTTTGAACTTGAACTTGAATTAAATTCAATTTTATTAGCTTTGAGTGCCATCAAGGGCAAATATCCACATCAACAAAATATTTACAATAGTTAAATACAATAAATACAAAACAAGATAATAATGCAATTATTAAATAAAAGGATTTTTAAATTAATTGACCAATTCTATAGTTAAAATAAAATTAAAATATGGCTTGCTTATTATCAGATGTGGCAGAGAATGGGTCAATGTTTACAGTATAACTTGAGGATAGTGAATAAAATGGGAACTTGAACATGGAATGTGAGTTTTAAACACCTGACCTGAAGGTTGAGATCTGTGCCAACTACTTTCAGCACTATTATAAAATAATTTTGTCTTTGTTTTATACTTGTTAGATTGAAGGATTTATCCGAGAGATTGATGTTTCTTCAACCAGAAACTTTTGGAAGAAAGGCAGAGGAATTTCTGTGGTGGAAAGTGTACTATGATGTTATTAATGTAATCAAGAAAAATAGGAAGGTAGACTGAATGTTTAAATACTGAAATGAATTTTGTGAATACTACAAGTACTTTTAATACAAGGAGAAAGAAATGTACTATAACATAGTAAAAAAATACAGGAAAAAAAATTCCTAGTCTGGAGCCGGGCAGTTACTGCGCCCAACGGTCATCGGGTGACGCGATTCTATGGAGAACGTAATGCCACAACATGCATGCAACAGATCGATTATCAAACAATGTGTCTTCAGGTCCTACTACTCTGGTTTATTATTAATTTTATTGTATTTCATGTTTTCATCAATGATCATAATTCTGTTTATTAAATTTCTGTTGTTGACAGCAATTTTATTGTGATTGATATCATTATAATTAATAATTTTCTTTGTTTATAGCATGTTAGGCGTGGATCATCGTTGGAAAGTGCATATCGTACTCATCTTATCTCTGCTATTGGGTTCTACCATCATTTGCTACTTAGGCTACAGAAGGAGTTTAACTTGAATCTCAAAGGCATTGTGGACCTAATCGACATCTCAGAAATGATCTCCGAAAAGGGTATGTTTTCAATCACATAGAATAAGACCTACTGTATGTTATTATATCTGTCATATATCTATACACGGTAGGACTGAACTACTGTTTAAAGAGGTTGTATAACATAAATAATTTTACTGACAAATGGGAATGCAGAAAAAGTGAAAACTGTTGAAATCTTGTCATTATGGTAAGGATGATCAATTTAGCCTAGCTGTATAAAACTATTATTAGTAGTTGAAGATATCGCAAAATTTACAGGTCCTATCATTGCTGTCCCAGAGAAATTTGATGCAGTGTAGCGTTTTACATGTTGTGTTTTCCAGCATCATTGCATTGGGTGAAGCATGCATGATGATAATAATATCGGTAATAGTTGGATTTACATAGCGCTTTACACCAGAGTCTCAAAGTGTTGAAAGTGTGGACTAGCTCCTTGAGTTTAAATTTGAATTTGATTTGAACCCATGGCCCTTAACCACCAAGCTCCTCCTATTTATTAAAAATTTGTTTTTTTCGTTTTTTGGAAGTAGATAAAACTGAGGCGACTGAAAAACCAAGTGATAAGGCAAAGCAATGGGCAGAGAAAGCATGTCATCGCTGCCTCATCTATCTTGGAGATTTAGGTAAGTCTGATAAAATTGGATGGACTAACCACACTGTTGATAAAATATTTAATTTGTTTAAATGTTTGATTACCTTAAATTATGATTAGCTTATTTAAATTTATGCAACATACAGTATTATTTGAACATTATGAAATATTACCTCTCAAATTACAGTAATTGGAGAAAAGGCAATAAAACTTAGTAGTGGTATCTCGTTGGGTCATCATTGCCTAAGACCCTTTTGAGGCAAATAAATATTAAAAGGAAAATATATTGAGATGCTGTACTCTGCAGTATTATGTACCAGTAAATAGAAAAAGATTTGTATCATCAAGTATCATTCTTTGTTTATCAATTCAGCTCGCTATCACCAGGATTTTGATGGTTACCGCAGTCAAGTTCTTGCTCAACGCTACTACCACCAGGCCTTGCTGTATAATCCGGACATCGGGATGCCTCACAACCAGCTCGGCACACTTGCTGGCATGAGGCACCAGAGTGTAGATGCAACCTATCACTACATAAGATGGTGAGTAAAGATTGAATATAAGAGCTGTGGTTTGGTGGCTTAAGGAATTGTCTGTTGGATACAACAATGTTTGGTCAGACATTGTCTTTTGAATCTTAAGCCTTGTCCAGACTGTCAAATTTTATTGGACAAAAACATGTGATGTGCCTAAATATAGTCATGATGACATCACATCATGACCATATATAGGCACATCATGACTAGATATGGGCATGCAACAGTTTTTTGTCAAAGAAAATTTGATAATCTGGACAGAGTTTAAACAGACAAAAGTATGATTTTTTTTTTCTGTTGGATTCAACAGATAACATTTAGTCAAGTATTTTCTGTTATTTATGTTTGTTTTCCAATTTTAAGAAGTTTGACAATGGTCTAATTTGTCAGACAAATTCTGATCAAACGTTTTCTGTTAAAGATATAATACCAAAATACCAACTATAATATGTTCATTATCCACAGTATGTTGGCTGATATACCTTTTGAAGGAGCTAGTGACAACCTTGCTAAGATATTCCAAAGGAACCGGAAGAAATTTAGGGACCTACCGGAAACGAATAACCGTGATTTACCCCCAGACATACAAAGGTTACAACATATTTTATTTTGCTGTCTTAATATTAAATCAACAGATCAAGCTCTCATTCAATAAATCAATCAGTGTATCAGTACTAAATTAATTAATAAGATAATTCTGTCAATATCAATCAACAGTCATTCAGCAAACAATATATACTAATTAATAAAATGTATTGATCTATTGTATTTGTATACTAAATTATACTTCTTCTGTTTCTCTTCCAAGTTCCAGTCCTGCGTTTTGTGTTTTAGGAATTTTAATTTAACATTAACCTGCGTGTTCACACCTTTCTTATTTCACAGATTAGAAAATTGTGTCTCTTCTTTAAAAAAAAAAAAAAAAAAAAAAAAAAAACAAGTAATAAAAAATTACGACGTGAGATATGTAATCGTACCCAAATTACATCATGTTATGTTAATTAACAGCACAATGTAACGTATTATGTTGAAAATACGTAAAATTACAGATTGAGATTTTTTTTCCTTGTAAAAATGCAAAAAAAATCTGTTATTTTACAGACTCTCACTGTTATTCAATTAAACGCAAAATATGTTTTAAATATACATTTTGTGTGTAATTTGACAGTTCATGTGTAAACATTATTTCCAGCACTTATACTGTCTCTTATACACATCTAGATGTGTATAAGAGACAGGCATTGTAGATATTGTGTGATAATGCACACATTCACAGGAAGGGAACAGTTAGGTACTATGCACACTTGACAAACTAAGCACTAGTCAAGATGCAATGTAAATGTTTGAACATAATTTAATTAAATATCAGTCATTAACAAAGATATTTACATGCAATGTTTCAATTATGAATTCCTGCTGGTTAAAAAAAACAAACCATTGAGCAACATATTTTAAGATTTTTTCCATCTTTTTTGTCAGACCAAAAGACATCAAGCATATGTTGATAAAGTTCCTGCGTCTTCAGGATCTTCTGCAGCCCGAGTCGAACCCTACAAGCCAGGAGTTGTCCGGCCTTTGCCAAGCTGTGCTGCATGACTTCAACCTCTGCATGTACTATCCTCCAAACCCCAAGAGTAACTTGGCACCGGTGATTCTCAAGAATCTAGATGACATTAGAGAACAGCACGTCTCAGCCGATGTCGTATTTAAAGTTGTCATGATGGCCCTGATGACAATTTACAAACTACAAAAAGCAGGTAAGCCCTTGTTTTTGGGTTAAATAAATTATTGTTTAAATTATGATTATATTTATTTGATAAAATAAATTGATCATAGGTTGTATAGGAACCTCAGCACTTTCAGAGTTTTGTATTGTAAAGTACTGTATACACTAGCTTTTGTAACTTAAGTTAGTCTCACAAAATGTCAACTAGAACTATGGCTGCCTGAATCCTTTGTTTAGTACATCACTGCTTGATACATTTTACTCGGCTAATATGTATTTCTTGTAACTCCCAAACATTGCAAGAAATAAATCTTTATATTTGGATTGGAGGTTAATAGCTTGGTGGGATAAGGCTTGCCTTCTGATCCCACGGTTCTGCATTCGGTTCTTACGACAACTCTCTAAGCACCATAAAGCATCTTTCCATTGTATTATGGGTGAGTTACTTGCTGGTGGATGAATTAGAATTTAAAAGAAAATACTGAATTAAAAATAGTATTTCTCTATCTTTGTATTTTATCTCTATTAACCTTAATAATTGAACATTTTCAACCTGTATTTTTGTACATAGGCTCCAAGCATGTGTCTGCTGCCATTGCCTTCACGTTAGCACTTTTCTCTCATCTTTTGAACCATGTTAACATGAGAATCCAGAATGGTCTTTATGATGTACAGCATCCCAGCTCACCTGGTGCTTGTGATAGCAATATACAAATGTCAGGTAACTATGGAAATCATTCTTAATTACAATCCCTTAGCTGCAGTTGCTTAGTTACAGTTTCTTAGTTACTGTTCCCTAATCACATAAATCAGTTTATGATATATTTTTAGATGAGACTGATGAGGATGATGAGGAGGAAACTGTAAAATCTGGTCCCACAAGTCCAAGCAATACATTAACACCCTCCCAGAGTCAAGATGCAGACAGCAGTGGTGCAGTTAGCCCATCCAAGAAGCTCTCCAAAGAGTCTAAGAAACAAGCTAGCAAGTCTCTTCGAAGGCGCCGTGCCCATTACCTGAATCAGGACAAATCTTCTAGCGAGCAGTATGACCTCAGTGAGGGAGAACTAAGCATCAGCAGCCAATCAGATTTTAGTACATCTGATGGAGAGCTTCACAGTGAGGGTGCACCTTTCTCCTCTGGGTCTGACAGTGATTTTCTTATGGACAGTCAAGAATTTGAGATCTCCAAGTCGAAGGAGAACAGGAATCAGAGCCCAGATACGAAGTCAGCTTTGCAGATTTCGGTTGAGCAGATGCCAGCTGGTGCCAGAGGAAGCCCTGCTACAATTGCTCAGAATCTAAAGGATCTCTCGTCACAGCTTTTCTCTCAAAACCCAAACACTAGCTTTTTAAAACGAAACATTCGCCTTGCTCCATCCTTTGAGGCATACGAGAATGACATATCAGTGGTCGAAGGTAAAGGTGAAGCGTTAGACGTTAAAGATGATGGTGACCCTAAAGAAAGAATGTCAGAGAATGAAGGTTTGTAGAAGTTTGACTTATTTCTTCTCATTCAATAAGTCATATATACAACAAAAAGATCTACAAAAACAATTGCAACAATGCATTTATTTTGTATAGTATTCTACTTATTCAATAAGTATGGAATATAGTAACAAGAGCTAAAACCATACTCCATAAGTACCTTTCTGGTAATAAGTATAATCATTAAAAACATTCTAAACAAATACAGTACTTTAAAACTTTCTGTTCTCCTTTTGGGGAAGTTAGGGAGGGGCGGGGTGGATTTTCTAACATTCCTATTTAAATGATATCTTTTCTGGTCATGTTATTCCTTTCATATTTTCCTTCCTTCTATTTATTCTTCATTTTCCTATTATCTGAGTTGTCCACTTTTCTCTTGGTTGCCTTCTCTTGATTGTCCCAATTGAAGGCCTTGATTTTTTCTGTTCATCTTAATTGTTTAACTTTTATGATTTTTGATGGTTAATTGATGTTAACTAGTTAATGGTATATGATAAATATTATTTTTTATTAGATAAAGGAGATACCATTCAGAAATTGATATCTGTATTGGCAAATGAGGAGTTGTTACCAATTGTAAAGCTTTTCTGTGATTGGCTGAGAGGTCATTCAGATATTATTACTACAACAGCTCAGGTAAGAACACATTTTTCTTCCCAATAATAGCAAGAAGCACTACAAAGTATCATTATCTGTGCTATTACTATAGTATTACTAATACTATTAAGAAAATAAATAAATGGTACTACAAACTACTTCTATTACTATTGATGCTATACTACTACCATTACTACCTCTACAATACTGGTGCTTCTGCCAGGGGCAGATCCAGAATTTTTCAAATGTGGGGGATGTAGGGTGGGCACAACAGTTTTAGAATAGATAAGTGAGTTGCACATATAATTGTGTATAATTCTTATATGATTCACTCTTTATACCAACTTGTGCATGAATTTTTCCTGTTAAATTCTTGCCGTTGTATTCCATATATTTGTAGGTTGCATAGTTAACTGTTTTAATTCAATTGTAAGCTGGTTTTTATTGTGTGATTCCTAACTTTTTATATACTGGTGATTTAAATGAATTTTTATGTCTGTATTTTTTTTTATTGGTGGTTGGGGGCCCCTGTGTAAAGCAGTTTTTTGTATAACTGATCAGGGTTTCCCTCATTAAATAAAACTATTAAAAAAAAAATAATAATATAAATATGCATTGAAATTTTTAAAATTTAGTGGCATAACGGGGGGAACTTTTCCCCATGCCCCTACTCGGTCCACCCCTGCCTGCTACTACATACTGCGCTACCGCCACCATTACGACCTCTACTACCACCACTGATGCTGCTGCTACTACTACAACTACTAATATCATTGGAAAAGTTCATGAGGAATTAAGCCTGACATCTAATTCTCAACAGAATATCCTTCTTTCAGAGTGTGGTGATATACCGTAAATGCTTGAATAAGCGCCACTCTTGAATGAGTGCCGCAGCGCTTAATCAAGAGTACTGTATATTACCCAGTGTGTAATGAAACACTTTGAAAAACAGGGTTTTAAATAAAATGTATACAGTGTTCAAATGAATAAATAACACTATATTCCCCTAATAATAGTTGCACATTGGTATTGTGCTAATTTTAATTGTTTGCGATTTTGAAGAGCCATTAATTTCAGCCTTTGGCTGCTTTCTGTTATTGAAATAAATATACCTTTGATATATATTTTCATAAAGAAAGTGTCAACATTACCACTGCAACTATTACACTACAACTGCTTCTGCTACTTTAAGCTGCTGCTGCTACTACTACTGCTCTCCCATAACCTTCACAAACCACTACAATCACTGTTAATTACACTACCACTATACTGTAGTATAAATAATACACTCCAGTATGTGTGTTATTTTGATTGACTCCAGTAGAATTAACTTTAGTATTTCTGGCTACCCCAGTTTTAATCTAGTTTTCTTTTGAGTTTTTTATTATAATGTTTTATACAGTAATTGATCTTAATTATTATACCTCAACAAAAACAAAAAATAAATAAATGAGATGTAATATTTGGTTTGTATTTTCCATTGTGTAGAGTTCTCACACGCTATGGGCTCGCTTGGCACTGCTCTTGAACCAACTTCCACGAGAAAAACAACTCTGTGAACCTGGTAAGAAGTCTATATTTATTTATTTTTCTGTCTGGTCATAAGTGAATAGTTTTAATGAAAAACTATATCTGGTTTTTTTCACTGTTGACTTTGTGATCAAAATACCAATGTAACCAGGAGCACAGGCTATTGAAAGGGAGCCCTCTATAATTGTTAATTATTTTGTACAATTTTCAGTATGCCTAAAGTTACTGATGAGTTAGCTAATTATGGGATTCTTAATTTCAGTTTATTGAATTCCTATGCCTTTCAAAGTTACAGACAAAAACCATTAACGTGGACCAGGATGATAAACACATGTGAAACCAGCACAGACACTAAGTCAATATTGTTATCTAGCTATATCAGTGCATTTTATATCGGCCTGTGTTTTTCGGGCATCTTTGATCGTGGAAATTAAAGGTTGTAGAATTCTTTGATAGATGAAAATGTCATTTTTTGGTTGTTTTATTGAAGAGTATATTATTTATCATATGGACACAATAACCAAGTATTACCTAGGACTCTGGGATTGGAAAGCAAGCATCTTACTTAGCATACAAGTAGGCCAATGACACATTTACATACTAATTTTATTGTCTCACATATCTAAATACGTGAAAACAGGTCACATAATTCTGCTTTTCTGGTGCAGATTTGTTTTTACATCAACAAATGATGTACTGATCAGCTTGAAACTTCTCTAGGTGATGATGCATGAAAGCCAATCGCATGAAAGCCAATCAAAAGAAAACAACTGTTCTATTTCTGATTTACATAATACTATCTGCTAAACATTAAGTGTCTTTACACTGAGAGGTAATTGGAAGTCTGGGGTTGTGGATTGATTTAAAGCTGGAACTGGATCACAGGTGTTTTAGGACAGGTGCTGTTTGTGGGTTGTCACAGACCTTGATTTGCATATGGAAAAGTAGGTTACTGTTACAAAGTTCTTTGGTAAACATACAGTAGTTATGTGTCAGTGTTACAGTTTTATCCCGAAAAAGGGCAAGGAGAAAGAGAAAAAGAACAGCAGAAGAAAATATGTTACAATATTTTAGCATGTAATACAATGAAAACAACAACTAATAATTGGTTAGTATTTTTATTTAAAAAACAAATATTTAAATAAAAAATTAAAAAAAATAAAAAAATTAAAAAAATACAGTGCCCCTCCCCCCCCCAAAAAAAACAAAACAAAATAAAACATACTTACACAACACAAAATGTACGTAAATTGGGTTTTCCTGTCTTTAATGAATGTCAGAGAGGTGTCTGAAGGTTGAAGAGACAAACATTAACTAGAATGCACAAGTAGCGGAAGAAAAGAGAAAACATAAACATCAGGCAGCCTGGCCCCAGCCAAATGCACACATTAAGCTGCAGAATCTTCAGCATGTTGAAGGTGGCAGCATGCCAGAAGAAGAAGAATTCAGATGTAGTGAATCAACATCATCTGTCATCACATTTCACTAATAACCTCATCATCATATTAATTGTCATCATTATCTTGAATATCCATACCAACTTCTCAGTAGGCTTATCAGTGTCTAAATCACTTTCATCAATCATCATATATAATTATACATTAATGAATAACAAAACAACATTACCCTGTTATCTACTGAGCAATTTAATGCCATTGTTATGTTAATACTGTTCATTTTACAAATTTAATATAAATTCATTTTCAACTTCTCAGTATGCTTATAAATACTTTTATCATTTTCATTAATCATCTTCATTGTTCTCATCATCATTTTCATTGTCATTATCAATTATAATTATACATTAATGAATAACAAAACACCATTACCCTGTTATCTATTGATCATTTTAATACCATTGTTATGTTGATATTGCTCATTTCATAGTTTACTATAAATGTATTTTATATGTAGCCACCCATCAGTCAAACTTTGACAAAACTTGGCAATTGAGATGATGACAGTGGGACAGTTTAACCTGTTAGGGAAGTGGAGAATTAATCAAATTAAGCTGGATCACCTTACAAAATTCATAAATCACATCAAAAATAAGGCCTATCAAGTTCCATTTAGTGGATATGACCTAAGTTGACCTTCCTTTGTCTTTAGGAAACAATACAGGCTATAATGACTAAATATATATCATACAGTTTCCTATTGATCAGTTAACTGCGGTAGGCCTTTTCAGGTTCTTCTAATTTGCGGGAACAGATGACCTCTCTAGTCCCTTGAGCCACCAGTTTAAGCCTGCGGTGTAAACCAAAAACATTTGCGTAAAACTGATTTTAGTTGTTGTTCCATACATGGCAATTCGCTTTTTGTCTTGTGGATACTGTTGCATTATGGGAAAGCTAATGGTAATAGTTATGAATATTATAAAATACTTAACTATCATGTTAAAAAAGTGGTCTTTAAAACATAAAACAACAGAAATGTTGGTTAGTGTTGAAGTCTACACGTTATTAATAGCTCTAACATAATTTGCATTTTTTTGATTGGCTGATAAAAGCATTATATTAAAAAAAAATACTATTAATAATATTTGTGTTTATGTAGCACCTACATTAATACCAGAAAGCCAAAGAGCTTTCGTTTCCCTGGTCACTGGATTCCAGGGTATTCATGCGCATTGCACCAGCTTCGCCACTCCCCGGGGGAGTTAATCCATCTTTCTCTGACTGCTGATAATAATTTCCCAAAATCTAAATTTGTTTGCTAACAGTTTGAATGTACCCAGGTGTATAGTAAAAATATTGTGAAATCAGTCAGACATAATAATAAATTTGGGAATAATAATCATATTTAAGTAGTTTTTAAATTGTTTACTTTATGTATGCTTTACTATGGATCTTTCTACCACGCCCCATTCCTTGGATATTGTTGGTCCAAAAAGCGTAAACATATAACAAAATGCATACACTGTATGTAGAGCACCACATATATTTGTGGGTGCTAATGTCCCTGATCCAGGGGGTCCCTTGATTGAGACACAGGAAAGGTTTTTATCCCACAGTGGGACTGGATGAAAGAAATGGGTACATAGTCCTGTCTTGGAAAATACTCTACTTTTAACATTCATACTAGTTAATACCTGTCTGGATTGCAGTTTTTCGGTCAATGCAATAAACTACTTACATTACATTACTCACTGTAAGCTTAACCGAGTGAATGTTGCCCTGGAAGAATAACTAGGATTATTTTACTGCGCAATAAAGTCAAATGCAAACTCCCTGACTTGGTTAAGTCTTCCTAAGTGTGTGTTAATACAGAATATGTGGCAAAGACAAGCCAAACCAGTCACTCGTCGCAAATCGTGTTACAGAGAAAATGGCCAAAACATGCTGGAATGTCAAATTTTTAAAAATGTATTTTATTGCACTAAACTAAACTTATATATCTATACATCATTCTATGCTGTTATTTTCCCCATTTTCAATGTTAAAACAACAATTTTTAAGGATTTAAAGATGAAATCTGAAATCTTAAACTTTGAAGGCTGATTTCTCAAATATTGTTCTTTAAACAGCTGTGTGATTAAACGCTTGTAGCTTCATAAGGAAATGTCCGATTTGAATGATTTTTTTACCATTTTATAGCTATTATTTTACTCTCTAACACTGTATTAATGACTCAAAATCGATTTTTGCGACGAGTGACTGTTTTGGCTTGTCTTTGCCACATATATTGCTGAATTTTTCACATAATACGTATCCCTGATTATGGGCCGTAAATGCACACGGGGCCAACGGCTTAAACGTCTCATTTCAAAGACGGTGTGCTATTGTAACTTGTATTTCAGCCCTCCAGCTGAAACACAAGGAGAGGCAGCGATGGGAATTGAACCGGGGACCAAGAGATCTCCACAGTTCAGCACACACACAGTGGCTACCACCACATTCGTCGACTGAGCTAAGCTGCTCTCAATCATTAAGTTTTTTTTACATGGCCCATCTTATAATAATATATGGCAAACTATGGTTACCAAGATTGCATTCAGTTTCTTTGTCTTGTTTGCATTTTGTCAACACTGTCTGCATTTAGGCCATTAAACAAGATTAAATACAGCTTCTGTAAACTTGTTCACTGGAAAATATCAATATGCCTCATGTTCTCATGCAATTGTCATGAGTCACGTTTGGGTGGGTATGGCGTTTATCATCAAGCTTTAGTAAACCAAATTCTCACCGCATTTTTCTAATTAAAAGACAGTAATTTCTTTAATGATTAATCTGAGTTTAGCGTTTTTGTCCCATTTCCTTTAATACTCCATTAATTATGTTTTATTAAAAATGTATGTAAGTACATGGAGCATTTGCTCACTGGAAAGGAACTAAATTTTAAACATTTACTTCCCTCCAATCAAAGAACAGCTGATTGAAGTGTGAAATTGTCACCATGACGACCAAGAGAGGGACAGCTGAGTTTATTCATGCCCTATGTTGTGTGAATATGCAGATATTAGCGAGATATAAATGACTTGACTCAAGAGTATTGTAGTGTAGTTAGAAGTCACAAAGGGATATTTAGTTGTATTATCTCGTTCCCTAGTACTTCAACAGTAGGAATCATGTCACCATTGTAAAATTCAAATTACTTGGATTATGCAATAAAATGGTCTAATGCATTTCCCAAGCATGCAGCAATGTTTACTAGTTAGCATATCACCAGTAATTCTTAATAAAGAACTTTCTCAATAAGTAGCAACCATTGTCAAAATATCAAGCTAAAATACTCATTGGTTTTATCCTACAAATGAAATGACCACTTTTTTCTTGACAATCAACAAACATGGAGATCCCAGCGGCACCATTCCCGTATTCCCACTTGGCTTCATAATGATACATTGGCAATGTTATGCTGATCGTATCGTAAACTTCTTTCCACAATGGGGTATGCAAGTGAGTAATGTTATAATGGCATTTTAGCTTGGAGTGTTTACAATGAATTACCTTTCAGTATTCAAATTAAAATAGCTTCACTCACTGAAAACTTCTATAAAGCAAAAACTGGGTCCTGTGGAAAACAGTAGCTTAA